TCTGCGTCTGAGGACGGAAAGCATTTCTCCAGCAGTCAAGGCACAAAACCAGGTACAGAAGGGAACACAGACCACGAAGCGCAACGGAGAAACGCTGCCAAATGCAAGCGAAATAGGGAAGACTTAATAAATATTCTGAGATGAGGGTGCACTCGTAAGAAATCTGATGCAGTTCATCAAGAAAGCAGGATTTTCAAGATGACCGTGGGCTTATAAAACACAACAGCAACAGCAAAAAGGAAAAGTTGCCTTCAGAAACAAACCGGAAGCTCGTGGCTGTGGATATCCCAGCTAACCATGAAGGCTTTCCTGGCAGACTGTTTTCTGTGTGGTTTTATCAGACATTTTCGAAAGCGAGAAATCCAAACGGTAAGATTCACGTTGCTCTAAAATTTACTTTTCTTGTGTACTTCCAGCACTCCCATATAGCAACCCACACCAGCCATGCAGCAAGAAACCGTGAACAGCCGCAGACCCCCCAGGCAGCGAAGAGCTCCTACCTGCCTCTCGCTGACACGAAGCGGGCCGAACACCAGGCACTGGATCAGCTTCGCAACCAGCATCAGGAAGCAGCAGGCAGTGTTCACGAGCACCTGGGAAGAAACAATGCGGTCAGCGACAAACACGTCTGCCCTCTTCAGAAGGCGGGAGAGCAGGGGAGGGAAGGAGCCTCACAAAACCGACCATTGTTCACAGAACAGTGCGAGTTGCCTTTTTTTTTTTTGGTGAAATTTAAGCCTGGCCTCTTCCAAGACACGTACAGTGGCTGAGAAGTCACTTCACTTTTTTTCTAGAAATACCAGCACGGCCAGCTTGCTGCACCAGTATATCCAGCGAACAAACCTACCTCTTCATGACACCTTTTTTTACATAGACTAGCGACTCTCAGCACCAATGAACACGGGGACAAAACTGACAGATCACCAAGATGCTCGTTTTGTTTAAGAAAACTCCAGTCTCAATCTGCTGCTCCACGAGCTTGATCCAGACATTGTCTCAAAACACTGTGACACCCCCCTCCTGTAACACCACCGCTGACGTCCTTCTCGGGGTGCACAGTGCTTCGAAGCAAAGCAGCAAGGAGCAGAGCACGGCGGCCTGGGAATGCCGCTGCTCACCTTTGGCAGAGACACAGAACCACAGAATGGTCGGGGTTGGCAGGGACCTCTGTGGGTCACCCAGCCCAACCCCTGCCGAAGCAGGGTCACCCAGAGCAGGCTGCACAGCACCGCGTCCAGGCGGGTCCGGAATCTGACCTGGGTAGAACACTGAACAGGGGAGGGGGAGGATGATGAAGCGGCCTCGCCCTCTCGTTGCTAAACGACATACAGCCACCTTCTCCAGCGCTCTTCATTTACGGTCCCCAGACCAAGCTTCACCAGGCTGAACACCTTCGGTACGCGCAAAACCCAGCACGCTGCGACGCAGACACCCGGCCACCACCGCCTCCGCCTCACGGACAGGCGAAAGCTCGATGGCAACAGCCCGGCCGGCTCTCCGACAGCCCCCGGCCCAGCCGATAGCCAGCAAGACCGGGGTCAGGCACC